TTCTCAACCACCGTAACGGCCTCTCTGGCCACGGGCACTTTCACAAAGTGGCTGAAGATCTTCTTGATCAGGCTGCTGGGTAACGCGGGCTCTCGCTTCCTCCGGGGGGCCCTCGCTGCTCCCCTGGCAGCCCTCGGAGCCAGGCTCGGCTTGGGGGGCAGTAGCGCACTAGGCAAAGCAAGCAGGCAGGCACGGTGGGCAGAGCAGCAGGGAGCGCCCAGAGGAGTCTGGCGGAGGACGGGAAGGGGCTCTCGGCACGTCCTCAGGCCGCGCTCTCGCGTACGCCCCATCCCTCGGGTAGCCCTGACAGGGTCTGCAGAGACTGGCCCAGCGCCCCCGCGACTCACACAAAGGCACAGAAGTGGTTCTGGGGCCACATCGCCAGTTGGGCCCCCAACTCCACAGCGTGTGGAGCGGGGCTGCTCCGGAGGGAACTCCACCCCCTCGGTCGAGAGCCTCCCCTTTGTGCCAGCTGGGCAAAGCTGGCCAGCACGGAGCGGGTGGGGGCGGCAGGAAGACCAAGGCTCCAAGGGGCTCCGGGCTCCTACCCCACGGCCTCCGGAGTAGCTCGACCATCCCCAGTAAAAGCAAACGGGGCCTTTGGCTCCTGGAGATCCCATCTGACGCCGATCGTAGGGCTCGGGGCGCTCTGACGTGGAGACGGCCTTGGGCTGCTCGGCAGGAAGAGCTTCTCCCCCCTCACCTGGGGCAGAAGCCCAAACCCGACTCCCAGCTGGCTCTCAGCTGGGGAGCCCGGCGCCCCCCAGCCCGACCATCCCCAGTAAAAGCAAACGGGGCCTTTGGCTCCTGGAGATCCCATCTGACGCCGATCGTAGGGCTCGGGGCGCTCTGACGTGGAGACGGCCTTGGGCTGCTCGGCAGGAAGAGCTTCTCCCCCCTCACCTGGGGCAGAAGCCCAAACCCGACTCCCAGCTGGCTCTCAGCTGGGGAGCCCGGCGCCCCCCAGCCTCAGCGCTGGAGCAGCTTCCCGCCCGCGTGGAGGGCGGGTTCTACGTACCTGGCTGCAGCAGCGGTGCTCAGGGAGCGGGGGGTTGGGGGCAGGGGGAACGGTCTGAGCGTCTTCGTGGAGAGCTCTGAGGAGAGAGCGCGAGCGGGCAGGCGTGAGACGCTCCGCCCTGGAGATCCTGCTGCAAGTGTCCCCCACGGGGGGGGTCCCATTTCCCACCGGCCAGACCACGGTATGCAAGCACCAGGTAGCCGCTTTTCCTCTCAGTAGGCACCCCAGCAGCGACGGCCACGGTCCCACGTAGAGCCTGCTTCCCAGGGGAGCCTCCTCCGGCGCTCTGCAGTGGCCCTGGCTAGCTCCGCTCACCGTGGCATGTGGTCCAGGGCCATTTCCACAGGGGGGAGCTGGCTCTGCCACACTCATCCCAGGGGACTCCAAACAGCCCAGAGCTACTGCGGTTCCCTGAACCCTGCCCTTGCCCCGCCAGGGAGCAGCCCGGGGATACGTTCTCTCTTGCCCTGGAGGGGCAGAACCAAGCAGCATGCCCTACGTCCACAGAAAGAGCCGCCAGCTGACGCCCGGGTCGGAGAATGGCAACAGAAGCGGGACAGA